GGAAGGGGGGGGGGGGGGTCACAATACATCCTCCTTCATTAATAATATTGTTTAAAAAACAATCTGATTTGCAAATATAATCAAAGGATAACATCCGCAAAGAAGAAGAATGAAAAGAAAAAAGAATAAAGATAGTAATACGGACGTAGTTTTTTGAAGTAAATTTATTTTTAGAATCTCTTGCGTGCACGATATAATCGATGGAGTTTTAGTTCTTTTTTTTTTCAAAGGATATTAAACTTCCTGACGTTCCATGTAGAATTCTAAGAAAATGTAAAGTAGAAGTATCTCAGACAAATTACAACTTGTTTTTATTATATAAAAAAATACACATAAAAATATTAATAATAACTATTTCAATCAAGGAGATAGATTGAAATGTCTTAATAATACTTTTCTTACAACTTGAGGAAATTAATAATTATGAAATTAATAGTCTATTTCCAGAATCTCGCACAATATCAATGAATTTTTAGATTTTTAGATTTTTAGATTTTTTTTATGAATTTTAGAATTTTTTTAGATTTTTAGATTTTTAGATTTTAGAGTATTACATTTTCTGACACATTCTATAAAAAATTCCAGCAAGAAAATATAAAATACAAATATTCCCAAATATCACAGACAAATTACAACTTTTTTTATTATATAAAAATAAATAATAAAAACTATTTCAATCAAGGAGATAGATTATAAAGTCATAATACTCTTTTTCTATCACTTAAGATGCTATCAAAGTATATTTGAAGTTGAGCGATCAAAAGATGTATCGTATAGCACGTATATATAAGTTCATTCATAAAATGATAATGGATGAACACAAAAAAAATTCGGTGGGATGAAAATCGCATGGATCATCAAGGAGGAAAAATAGCTAATCGTATGCCGACCAGTTATTATGTGTCGTGATATCGAGTAATCGGAGCGAGGTAAACCGGTTGGCCATGTTATCAGTCGCTTCGTCTTCTACTGATCTTCAGCTATCGTGCGATTACGAACCTGTTTGACCTGCCATTGGAGCGTATCGACTCGCGCTTGAAGAAAGACGTTTTGCAGGAAGGCACTCTGCAACCTCCGGTTTTCCTTCTTCAACGACTGGCATTGCTGCAATGAGAAAATAAGACTACTTATACATCCGTGCTCTCTCGGATACTTTTAGATTATGATTTGATGCAATGTTGCCATCACGACTAGTTTTAAGGAGAGAAATCATGGGACTTCTACCATTAATTAAAAGATAAGACTTTTTTAGCCATTATTATCTTAGTAAAATTTACAGGACGTTTTTCTTCGAATGAGAATATTTTTCTGGAGCTAGAAATTTCTCCAGATGGCATGTTATTCTCCATTAGAATAAACGTACACGCGTCGCCTGGCAGCCGCGAATTCGCTATAATTTTCCGCGACTTTCTTCCGATAATATATTTCCGACGTCTCCTTTTTCATCTTACACCGCGTACAGTCATAACTAGATTCAAACTCGCGGAGCGATTTTATGGATCCATTGACGTTGCCTCGCCATGCATTCCACCTCGCTTTATTAGCAAAAACTCATGTTTCTACCCTAGTAACGATCTGCTTGGAGAGTATAAGTTAGAGAAACGAAAGAGACGGAACATAACGCGAGTATATTTGCAAGAAAGGAAGAAAGAGAGGAGAAAAAGAGACGGGAGATACGGACGAGTTGCGGGTCTAATAGTCGGTACTTCTACGAAATCACGATTCTAACGAGGGTACTTCAGTGTGAGATCTTGCGTGCGCGCAATAGCGGTCCACGTGTGTCGCGAGGTACGAGATAGATGGATGAAAGAGATACAAAACACAGAAAACGTAAAGCGTCGATAGCTTTCCGTAATTAATCACAGGACGCTACCTGGCGTGAGCGTATTATTACGAATTTTACGCTATTCCGCTAATTACGAGGGGTACTTATGTCGATTAATAACACGTCCGACAATATAATAGCGCCGTTTTTAAAAAATACTTTCCGTTCAACGAGCTATGTAATGGGGACTTTGAGGTAATCTGCGTGTATCGATTAATTAATTAAACGCAATCGTAACCAATGCAGGCCTACAAACCTCCTTCTACTGACAATGCATACTTTCCTGTTTTTATCAATATTTTCAATAAGGTCGTGAAATTTTTTTCTTTTCCTTCCTTTCCTCTAGAATTCTGTGCAATATGATATATTTTTTTTTACCTTATTATACACTGAAAATATATTAAATTAATATCTATTTTTTAATTAATATCTATTTGTTTGAATTGTATTAACTGAATATTTACAGAATGTAAACATATATTTATTTTTTTGTATAAGAATTAATTTGATTTAATTATCTTTTTTTTTTATTGAGAAAGTATTTATTTAAATAAAAATTAAATTGTTTAAGCAAAAATTTAGTACATTTTTTTTCAATATACCGCCCGCTTTTCAATACTTTCTCTCTTTATACATATTGATTATTATGACAAATATCATCATATGCCTCGATGATTGAATCGGAAAAGACGCCCAGTTAATCGAGAGTTCCAATCCTAGTTGATGACATTTTTCGCAATAAATTCTTGGTAGTGTTTTAATATATTTATTAGCATTAATAATATTAATATTTCAGTTTGTGTTTCGAACATTTCGAGTTCGAATATAATCGGCGCATTTACAACTAAAGATGTTTTAACTACAACTTTTACAACTAAAGATGATTTAAATACATTTACATACAAATATTATTAATCACATACGAAGAAAAAAAATTAGTATTTTTGTGTGAAAATTGTGCCAATAGCAAGATATTTGTAATATCAACTATAAATTAGTGTAAGGAGTAAAATTAAAAAGATTGATATGATATATAGGATAAGAAATATTTACAAGTTTAAATAAAAATAGGTTTAGATAAAAGTAAGTAATAAGTAAAAGTAAGTAAATAAGTTTAGAGATGAAAGTAATATATATTGAGAGTGGATTCCAGTCAATAAATATTAAGATATGGAATGTTAATTAAGATATAATAAAGTAGTAAAAACTACAAACCAAGATTTCTCTTGGCATATAAACTGCAATAATAATAGTTGCTTCTATTATATATATTGAACACCAAGATTCAACTTCGGCCATATATGGTACTTCTTTAATTTTTTCATTTTTTTAAATCAAGTTTTTTCAAATATAAAATAGACAAAATATTAAGTAATTTACTCAGAGGCACATAGAAATTAAACATCAAGAATAAGCGAATCAGATATAGAAATTAAAGAATCGTAACCTAATCGAATTAGCCAATCAACGTTTTTACACAATAAAAAAATATAATATCTTTGAAAAAACTATTGTAGCAATTTTTTTCGAAAAGAATTTTAAATTTCAGAAAGTTTACTTTAAAATGCTTATCTATTAAAATTTCCCTTAAAAAGTTTAAAATAATTACGACATGTTATTAGCAAAAAAAAATAATGATGAAAAACCGCGTGACGATCATTAACATCGGGTGTTTCATTATCTGCGTTACACATTAATTATCACTACCTTAGCCAACTAGATATTTTCTATCTTGACATGAAAAATTGTAACTGAATAACGTTGCGAATAATGTTGTCGGCTTTCTAGGAGAGCGCGGAGCGATGGTGAACGGGCAAGGAGGTGGATCATAAATCAGAGCCCCGGTGAGAAAAGGTCACGAAGGAAGCTGGAGAGAATCGGTAAGGATTTAATGAGGTACGCTTCACTTTCCATGTTTTTCGCGGGAGCATTTAAACGACCGACGAAATTACACTTGGTCTCGCGACGCCGCGAAAGAAAAGTTCGATATTAATTTTCAGATCCTATCGTTTTATTTTCGTGCGTTCCTGTTTTTCCTTTCACGCTTAATCGATCGCACGATATCGTGTGCGGCAGCTGCTGGCCACGCAATATCGATATACCGTCCGATAACATCCAGAGGATCTATCGATTCCGCATCTCTCAAAGAATTTAATGAAACCTTCGACCAAACTCGAACAAGACGAAGGCAATTTTCTATCTAATTTCGATAATCATCGCCGCAGCGTGGCTGGAGTAGAATCGTTGTAGTTATTAACGGATGACCATCGTCGTCCTTCGAGAATAGCTCGTTACAATAGCTCGACCTTCGATTATATCCAGAAGTAAAATATCCACTCGCTTTTGCAATTCATAATACCGTTAGTTTTTGTAGAATTGTCGCAGCGCTTCCAATTAATGAGAAACCCCGTATCTTTAATCTTCCAGAGCTAATACCAAAATCTGTAATACAATTACTGGCTGGATTTGCAAAGTCTATTCTACAATTGAGTAGTTGTAAGTGATTGTAGTGTGAAAATGGAATCACAGTTGAATATGAAAAGAATATTCTGTGTAATATTCGATAACTGATTCGATGACTATAGAATGAGCTTAAAATCTATTTCATTTATATTATAATTAAAAGGCACTAATTAATTGACTGCGAGAAACTAAAATAACATAACTCATATAAAAAGGTGTGGCGAATTTATCGCCACTACTCTAGCTGCAAGTCAAATATAAATGACAGTTTTTTATCTCAAGTAAAAAAATAGCATATATGGAAGATACCAATTACATATTAATCTGTGAAGGCTTCTCAGCTGTTCGAACGAAAGAAAAAAAAAAGGACAACACAGACAGACAGTCACGAGACAATATATTGATGAGCAAAAAAAATAAGATGCAACTGCTGCATCAGTTAAGAAAATTAGATCACTAGATAGCGTACATATTTTAAATTGTATATTTGAAACCTTCTAGAATATTCGAGTAAACAAATCATTTTCTTCGGGTCGAATGAGCAATTGAGAGAAGAAAGAGCGACATTTACTTATCCTTTGGCTCTTGTTGCGTGAAGTCGTGTCTGATAACGCGCTCAGTAATAAAAGATTTTAATATTTGCATACGTTGAGTAAATCATTGGCACTAGCTACATATAACCATCATCCGAATCGCATAATACAACCAAAAAGGAATAAATACTAAGTTTATTTTAATAATATTTTTAAAAACTACGGATGAATTTAACACTATAGATTTTTAATCTTAATTTTAGATTTAATATTAAATTTTAAACATTCGGTTTATATCGACATCAATTAAAAATAACATAATATCTATGTTGTAATTTTGCATTCAACAATATAAATGTAATATAACATAGGGTGTTACATAAATTACATTGTTAAGTAATTAGAAAGATTGTTAGATGTTATGGTACTTTTAGATGGCATCGAAAATGAACATCACATAGTATTAAATCCATAATAGCACAAATTTCTAAAGAACATCTTTAAAAATATTCAGAAGACTTCCTCGAACGTTTCCAGAATCTCGAATAAAATATCCTGCGTAGGAATTCATGTCTATATTTTTTAGAATAAAGAATAATTCAAATTTGCAAGATGTAACTTAAAGAAAGGTGAATCGTTTTGACATTTTTGATAAAGAAATTTCTAATCAAGTAGGTTCATCAGTGAACCCATTTCTCAGAAGATATTAATTTCAAAAATTCTACAGCAAGAGGCCGCAATGAATGGATTTCAATGTGGCTCTCGCTTTCATCGTCAAAGTTCCTGTCGCTAGAAGATGGAACGATAGAACGGCGCAGTTACTACGACGCCACGTGCGTAAAAACAAACTTTCGTACGAGATTGCACGCGGCATCGTCGAACAACTAGAAACGAAGGAATACTGAATAATTCAGGCAGTGACCGTAGCGAATGACGTCACGATAGTATTCAGCCGGTGGACTGTTCAGGCTGAGCGACCATGCGTAACCCCATCCGCTCGGCCGCTGCTGCCGCAGTCGCCGATGAAAATTTCAACTTTCCGTAAATATACCCTCACACAATCGACGAAAAAATGGAGGAAATATCAATGAAAAAAAAAAAAATTTACTCTGACTCACGTTGCGTTACGAATTCGTGAGAATTTGTCCGACGTCACGCACCTCAGCCGACAATTTTCGCAAATCAAATTACTCCTCGATGAACGATTTTTTTGCGCCGAGTCTATCTGCGTGTCCGTTACACTTGTGCCGTAATGCGTGCCTTACAATAACAGTTGCAACATT